GCCTGCCCAGGCGGGTCTTGAACCCGCGGGCTCAGGCAATCCACTCTCCTCAGCCTCCCAAAGGCGCGTGATTACAGGCTGAGCCACCGAGCCCAGCTGGATGTTTTTCTTAAATTTCTTAATATATGAGTTCTTTATTCAGCTGCCTCTCTTTTTTCTTGTAAATTATTTGTTGGAGACAGCGTGTTGTTTGTCTTGCAGAGCTTTTCATAGCTTGGATTTTGCAAGTGCAACCTATAATATTATGTAACACATTCCCTTTACTCTCTGTTTCCTGTATTGACTTGCTCAATTCAGGTTCATTGTTTGAAGGAAAGACTACTTCATGGATGGTGGGTGGTGTGTTTTTCTGTCAGGAGGCACATAATGCTGCCTTTATCCATTAATTTATTAAGGATTACAAAATTATACTGTTATAATTCTGCTCTTCCTTCATTACTAACTTTCTAGAAGTTTAACTTTCCCTCATCTGCTATTTGACCACCTAATGGTACAGTTTGTATAGGAAATACAGGTTTCAGTCAAAATCCTTTTCTTTTTCTTTATTTATCAATTTTCAAAATAATAAATTGGTTCACTAGCATCTTGTAATGGTAACTAATTTGGTTTTCTTCTCTGTTTCATTATAAACTCATGGCTCTAAACCTATTTGATGCGTTCTAGCCCACTGCAGTGATTATCCTCATTAATGCTTGGATTGTCCCATCTTTGGCCTATGGAGGATCCACAGGTTGGGTCCCGAGTGCCTTTGACACGACCCTGGCAATCTTTGACAACTCCCTTGCTTTCTGATATGATGAGAGGTTCTAGGCTCATCTTGTACATTTTGTGCTTGAGATCTACAACCAGCCATTTCTTCTAGAAGTTTTCATTCTTTCCAACAGGAAATGGTGTTTCAAGACCATATTCTGGCCACTAGGGATGCTCATTGCTATTGGATTGATCATTGTTTTAGACCTCTTCGGTGGAGAAATCTAGCACTTAAAGGATTTTGACTGAAACTCTTCTTTTCTTCTTCTTCTTCTTTTTTTAAAGTTTTCAAACAAAGTTTATGAGAGAAAGAAGGGAGAAAAGAAAGAGTGACATGCCAGAGTTGGCACGGGCAAAAGAAACCACTTCTTCCTTTCTTATGTATGCATCTGTCCCCACATCAAAAATCCCAGTTGTCAATGATGCTGAAAAAAATGACAGAATTAGGATATTATATAATTACTCATCTGCTTTATCTCAACAAAGGTTTATAAGCTGGAGAATGATGTGAGTAGCTCTGCATTTTGGAAGGGTGACTCATTTGGTACTCAGGCTGAGAAAGATGGTTTGGAACTGAGTAAATTGGTGGAAGAGAAATCAAACTAGAGGCTGTAGCTTTCGTTTTAAAAGAGAAGAACAGGTCCTGAACCAGGATGGGAGCGAATGGAGTGGAGAAGAAGTAAAGCATTTGAGAACTATTTCAGGGACGCACCTGTAGGACTTGGTGACTAGCTCTGGCAGGATGAAAATGATTGGGAAGTTACAGGTAAACTCTAGGACATCTTTCAGGGATAATTGTATTTAGTGACAGGACAGCAGATGTTGGGGAAGGTGGGAGAGGGAGAGTTAATAGTTGAATATCACAAAGCAGTTGGAGTGAGGAGTAGGTCAAGGAATAGTGAATTTGGAGTCTTCATCAAGTCTCTGTCCATTAGTTTTGCATTTAAACACATCTACTCCAGTCCCAATTACTGTTCCAGTATTTTCCAACGCCTCATAGATTGCTTGATGGAGTCAGACCCTTCCTCTTGCTTCTTAACTCTGTACCTCTGCCTACTTTGCCCTGTTGGTACCCCTCTACTGCCAATAAAGTTCTTGCTCAAGATTCACCTGAAGCTGCCCCTGAAATCCATGACTGTTTATTTCTGTACAGAAAACAGACAGTAGTTGTGGTTTTTTTGTTTTGTTTTGTTTTGAGTTGAAGTCTTACTCTGTCACCCAGGCTAGAGTGCAGTGGTGCCTTCCTGGCCACTGCAGCCTTGACCTGCCGGGCTCAGGTGATCCTTCCGCCTCATCCTTCCAAATAGCTGGAACTACAGGCACATGCCACCATGCCCAGCTAATTTTTGTTGTTGTTGTTATATTGTAGAGATGAGGTTTCTCTAAGTTGCCCAGAATGTTCTCAAACCCTTGGACTCAGGCAATCCTCTCACCTCAGCCTCCCAGAGTGCTGGGGTTATAGGTGTGAGACATTGTGCCCACCGAAAATAGTTGTTTTGTATGTTTTGCCCTCTGATTGTTTTGTATGTGTGTCTTGCTTACTCAACAAAGTTGGTCAGGTCAGAGATCCATTATGTCTTCTTTAAATCTTTCTCAGAACTGGACTGACTTATAGAACAGAGTGAGCAGCTGCAGTGTTGTACACCTGTAATCCCAGCTACTTGGGAGGCTGAGGTGGAAGGACTGCTTGAGCCCAGGAGTTTGAGACCAGCCGGGACAAACATAGCAAGACCTTGTCTCAGTAAATAATTAGATAGATATATAATTTTTTTAAAACAAGGGAATCAGCATTTATTGGCCAGTCTGGGCAAGAAAGCTTAGGTTAATATCTGTTAACTATTTGATTTCTGTGTGTTATAAACTTTCATTCTTCTTAGCCTCCAGTAAAGTAGCTCTTTTTGTTTTGTGTGATAGCAATCTCTATGTATAAATACTTGTAGAATGTTACACTTGATCCTTGCATTGTTTTCTTTTTCTTTTCTTTTTTTCTGAGTTGGAATCTCACTCTGTCACCCAGGCTAGATCTGGCTAGATCTGCTGGGCTCAGGTGATCCTTCCACCTTAGCCTTCCAAGTAACTGGAACCACAGGCATGTGCCACCATGCTTGGCTGAATTTTTGATTTACTGTAGTGACAAGGTTTCGCCATGTTGCTCAGGCTGGTCTCAAACCCCTGATCTCAGGTAATCCTCTCGCCTCCACCTCCTAAGGTGCGGGATTGCATGGGTGAGCCACCACGCCTGGCTAGTCCTTACATTGTTTTCATCAAAGCAGAGCTGGTGTGGTTGAGAAGATAGGTAAACTTTGCACAAAGGTCCTCTCTCTTGGTTTACAGACTTCTTTCATTTCACAGTGTTTTACCTCAGTCGTACATCCACACCAGTGCTTCTCTGGATGTTTCTCGAAAATGGGAGAAGAAGAACAAAATTGTTTATCCTCCACAACTGCCTGGAGAACCTCGGAGGCCAGCAGTAAGTCTGTGGTTAGAACTGATCTCTTAATTTCTTAATTTTGATAGAGTATTCTTACTCTTTTGTGGTTAGCAGTGATTTATCATTCCATGTTTTAAAAAAATGAAAATTATAAAACCATTTGCAGGATCCTTTAATTGTCACAGGAAATGTCCTGGATTTATCTCTTTGGTAGTTTAAAAAGATCATCATTGCTTTGTTTGCCTTTACTTGGCCTCCTGGATAGGGGCCTTCACTCTAAAGCGAGGCCGATAGTTTGAGACAAACTGATTTGACTCCAAGAGGCTTGCTGATGCGTTCTTGATCATGAGCATGTGGAGTTGGCAAGAATGACTTAAATCATTGGCCAGTGTTAAGATGATATATGTAGTTGGGCTTGGTGGCTCAGCCTATAATCCCACGCTTTGGGAGGCTGAGGTGAGTGGATTGCCTGAGCCTGCAGGTTCGAGACCTGCCTTGGCAACTTGGCGAGACCTCATCTCTACAATAAATCAAAAATTAGCCGGGCGTGGTAGCGCGTGACTGTAGTTGCAGCTACTTGGAAGGCTGAGGCGAAAGGATCACGAGCCCAGCAGGTCTCACTCTGTCACAGTCTGAGTGACAGAGTGAGACTTCAACTCAAAAAAACAAAAGATGATATATGTGATTTTCTAAGGTTGTATATACAAATACAAACACACTAGGTTCTTTTTTTTTTTTTTTTTTTTTACAGAAAAGGTTTGGGTTCCTACTAGAGATTTATCTTAACTGCTCAGAATTATTTTACCTTTTCCAAACTGTTAGAGATTGCCCTAGTCTGAGATATAAAACTAACTTGCAGCTTAGTGTAAATTTGCTGTGGAATATACATAACAACTGTTAAAAAGCTTAAGACAGTAATAATGGCATAAATAAGGTAGGAACATTTGAATCCTTAAGAAAATAAACTGTGGTAAGTACTTTAGAAATAGAATTACTGTGTTGATTACGAATCATTCATTTCAGCAATCCTTTGGGATTTAAGGCTGCTGAAAATCAGTCTCACCTAATAATAAGGACCACATCATTTGCTTAGTTTTTTTGTTTTTTAGAAAGCAGAATTTATTAAGAGGACAGAAAAACTCCCACAGTGGGAGGGGACCCGGAGGGGTTGCCCCATTTGCTTGTTTTTAATGTGAACTTGATAGTATACATTTCATTAAGAAAATATTCAGTTGCAGTGTAAGTGTTGGTCTGAATTAGTGCAGTTTTATATTTCCCTTTTTTCCCCCCGATTTAGAGGAGTTAAAGTATTAATTTAAAGAGCTCCCACCTAATTAAGAAATAAGAAGAAAAAGATATACTGATAGTTTAAACAAGTAACTTTTTAAAAAAAATTTGAGTCGGAGTCATTCTGTCACCCAGACTGGAGTGCAATAGCACGCTCATGGCCACTGCAGCCTTGACCTGCTGAGCTCAGGTGATCCTTCTGCCTCAGCCTTCCAAGTAGTTGGAATTACAGGTGTGCGCCACCACACCCTGAAAATTTTTTGATTTATTGTAGAGACGAGGTCTCACCATGTTGCCCAGGCTGGACTTGAATCTATGGGTTCAGGCAGTTCTCTTGCCTCAGCTTCCCAAAGGGCTGGGATTACAGGTGTGAGCCATGGTGCCCATTACTTGTTTGTTTGGTTTGATTTTATATAGGCACTTTAGCAAAACTTAATTCTCTATTTTGTGCAGATTTTGTTTCAGTAATCCTTTGGGGATAAATTATGACCTGGAAAATCCCTTAACATTTTCTGACTTTAAGTAGTATTTAGTACATTGACATCAGTCCATCAGATGTACCTTTTATGACTGGAAATACTAACACTCTTCACCAATACCTAGCTTATTTATAGGACATAATTTGCTCACCTAGCCACATAGTTCACATCCTATGCCATCAGTACATCATGTACAATGTCCCTGCTAGCTGCAACCATTTTAAAAATTCATCTTTTAAAAGAAGTCCAGATAATGTCTAATTCTACCAGTTATTATTATTATTATTTTTTGAGTCAGACTCTCTGTCACCTGGGCTGGAGTGCAGTGGCATGATCACTGTGATCACAGCTTATGGCAGCCTCAACCATCTGTGTTCAGGCAATCCATCCACCTCAGTGTCCTGAGTAGCTGGTACTACAGGCCACCACATCCGGCTAAGTTTTTGTAGAGATGACATCTCGCTGTGTTGCTTAGGCTGGTCTCAAACTCCTGGGTTTAAGCAGTCCTCCCACCTTGGCCTCTCAAAGTGCTGGGATTATAGGTGTGAGCCACCACTCCTGGCCTCCATTCTTCCTAATTCTGATCTTCTGCATTGGGCTATGTAGTTAATAAGTAATTGTGAATGGCGGTAAGAAAAAACCTTGTAGCAGTAAAATATAATGAATGTCACTGATATGGACTTGTTTTAGGCTACTTCTTTATTTTTAAAACTGCTTTCCTAATTTAACATCAATTTCCAAACAATATGGATTCTTATGTAGACTTTATCTTATATAAAGAAAATAGGCCAGAGAAATTAAAGGACTTTCTTCATGATAACATCTCGTTAGTTTGGGCTTGAGTTTAATTTTACAGTATTTTTGAAACGCTATGTTAAATAAATTTAAAGTTTAATGAGACTATATTAAAATTTTTTTGAACAACCATTTTTAATTTTTACTTTCCCCCCCCTTCTTTCTAACAATCATTTGTACATGAGGCATAGTTTAAATTTATGGATTAATCAACACACTGAGAATAAATCATTCATGTGCATCTCATAAAACTCTAGTAAGGTCTTTTATTAGGTGACGCTTTTTCATCTCATTTGAGTTATATGCATTCAAATATTAATTTCTTTAAAAGTTACTGATTTAGCCAGGTATGATGACTCATGCCTGTAATCCCAGCACTTTTGGAGGTGGAAGCAAGAGGCTTGCCTGAGCTTGCATTCGAGACCAGCCTGGGCAACTTGTCAAGACCACGTCTCTACAATATATCAAAAAAATTAGCCAGGTGTGGTGGTGCACACCTGTGGCTCTAGCTACTTGCATGCCTGAGGCAGAAGAATTGCTTGAGCCCAGCAGGTTGAGGCTGTGGTGGCCGTGAGCGTGCCATTGCACTCCAGCCTAGGCGACAGAGGGAGACTCTGACTCAAAAAAACCCAAAAACTGGTTTAGACATTTTATAATTTAAACTACTTTTACTTCATTTGAGTGACTATTTTGCATATGGTAGCCTTGCTTTATTTAATTTACCATATTGGTTAGCTAACGGCAATGATATATAACTGGCTATCTATTTGCCATAGTAAGTATATTTAGTGAGACTTAGTCTAGTTTATCTTTAGGAAAAGTACTCTTAGACATTTTACCTGCCCTAAGTACATGCTGAACCTTTCAGTTTTAGAAGAGGATAATTGAGTAACTTCTGCCTCTCTTGTGAACACTATTCCTTCTTGTCCATGCTTTTGCCAGGATTACAATCATTTTAAAACAAAATTTGAGAATAATCATATACAATTCAGGTCTAAAGATATCCCATCATGAGAATTCGCGAGTTAAAAGGTTTCTTCATAAGAGATTTCATTGAGTGGATTAATTTTTGCAGATTATTATGATCAGTGATGACAGTTTTTCTTTCCTCTCCCTTGTTTCCCAGGACACTTTATTGCTGAAAATGTAATTAGGCTATTGCTACAGTTTCAGGCTGTCTGTTTCTATTGCAACTGAAATGAAATCTGCTACATAGTAAAAGATGGCCACTTGAGAAAACTCTGCTGTTTTAAGATATCTGAACATTTCCAGCAGGAGCCAGAATATTAGAAAGTTTTGAGATCTTCTTGCTATTGTTCGTCTTAACAAGTGTTTCCTGACTTTTAAAACATGGCTGTATGGTACAGTGGTGGAAAGAAAGTGGGTCTTAGAGTCAGAAGGGAACTTTTGAAGCCCACCTGCCAGATATGCTGTACGGTTCTCCACATGCTTCTTGTTCTTTGACTTCCTGTTGTGTCTCTTCACAAGCTTCGTGGTCTTGGACAAGTCACTTGCTTTCTCTGATTTTCAGTTTATGAAAGGATTGTGAAATGTTTCCTCTCAACCCACAGAGTTAGGCTACATGAAATATGATTATAGGGCTTGGTGGCTCACCTGTAGTCCCAGCACTTTGGGAGGCCGAGGAGAGTGGATTACCTGAGCCCGCGGGTTTGAGACCAGTCCGGGCAACTTGGCAAGACCTTATCTCTACAATAAATCAAAAATTAGCTGGGTGTTGTAGCGTGTTCAGGCTACTTGGAAGGCTGGGGAGGAAGGATCGTCAAAGCCCAGCAGGTCAACACTCGGGTGGCTGTGAGCATGCGACTACACGCCAGCCTGAGTGATGGAGTGAGACTCCCAACTTAAAAAAAAAATATATGAGCATGAAAGTGCTATATGAAGTATAAATTGTTTAATGTTTTAAAAACATTAAACAGGGCATACCTACTGCTTTAAATAGAAGGTAATAAAAACTAACATGTACTGAAAACTTACCAAGCGCCAAGCACTATTCTTTAAATAGGTTATTTAATTTCATTCTAATTATAGTTTTTGAAGTAGGCACCATTATCTTTATTTTAAAGAAGAAGAAACTTAGGTAGAGAGAAGTTAAGTGGCTTGCTCAAGGTTTTATAGCTAGCAAAGGGCACTGGGACTCAAGCCTAGGCAATCTAATTCCAGACCCTATGTGCTCTTGACCAAACACCTAGAATGTTGGCTTTTCATATGAAAACATCTGTGTGTTTTGTTATTGTTCTCTTCACTAATAGTGAACTTTTTTCCTTGTATCTTTTCTTTTGTTCTTTTAACTAATGTTTTCAAGATATTTTCATTTAAATCTTTTACTATTACTCTGGATAGAAATGTTGCAAGTGTGGGCACAAACCAGCCATTTTGTAGTTTCTGTTTCTCCCTTAGTAATCTTTTTAGTTAGTGAGACTTTGGAAAAATACAACTTTGTGTAGGGAAAAAGAATCTCTGAATTCTTAGTAATGTTTCTGTTTTTTGTGACAGCATCTTCATTAGGCATAGAAAGTGAAACTTCAATAGCAGTGTATGTTACTGTCATTTTGATAAACCTTCTAAAGTTTCTTTTTGTTTTCCTATTTGTAAGGAAATCTACCACTGTCGAAGACAAATAAAATATAGCAAAGACAAGATGTGGTATTTGGCAAAATTGGTAAGCTACAATGACTGTTACCATATAGTACTTAGGAAAAGAAGCTAGGAATTATCCCCCAGGACTTGAAAAATCACAAATATTTGCCTTGATTTCTCCAAAAAGTGCTTGGAAGTGTATGATTTTCCTTAATTTGTAACCTTCTGAGAGACTATATCACATTGGATGGATGGCTGTTTAAAACAAAGGTATCAATCAGGAGTCTGGCTGTAACCAGAGAATCCAGGAAGCTTATCTACTCCTCTGTAAAGTTGATTCACCCTATTTTAAAACTGTTGCTTTTTAAGTTTTTCCCTGAAAAATGAAATTTATAGATGAGAGGATTTAAAAGCAGCAGATATACTTGTAAGACACTTATCTTGTAGGAGAAGGAAATGCCTTAATCCTAGCATGGTTGTTGCCAGCTTGTGGCCTTCCTCTTGCATGTCTTCTTTTTTTTAATATTATTGGAACTCTTACAATCTAGATTTTATGGTTAAAATGTGTCAGTTTGATTTTGACTTAAAGAGAGAGATATTCCTTCTCTGCTTGTTCTCTTTTGCCTGGGTCCAGTTCACTGTTGTTAAGAGTTACTCAGATTATGTAAGTCTTCTACTTTTCACTGAAATAGGAACATTGACTTTATAGACAAATTTGTTTATTTTCTCATGTCTGTCACCCTTTAATTCTAGATACGGGGAATGTCCATTGACCAGGCTTTGGCTCAGTTGGAATTCAATGACAAAAAAGGGGCCAAAATAATTAAAGAGGTAAACTTAAAAGATTGGATGTGATGGGGGAGGGGGAAACAGGGGAACACAGGTATCTTGCAGGTATTCGTAAGCTCAGTCTAAATCATGAATACCCTGAATGGTTTGTTGTAAATGCATGCTTTAATATAATACAGATTTAGGGCACTCAGTTTTATTAATGTCATTGTACCTTAGGAATGTTGTATGCTTTAGACATTTTTTTCCTGAGATGGTTTTATTTGCACTATTTATTTTTTTCTATCTATGATATGAATCTTCTTTTTAATGATTTGGGGCTTCGTATATAAATACACACACACACACACACACACACACACACACATATATTTTTGCTTTTTTTTTTCCTTAGACCAAGGCTGAACTTCATTGTATATTTTTTGGTAGATTTTAAAAAATCAATTTCATAAATGAGCATTTATGATATGGAAAGAGCATTGGACTGGAGCTCGGGAGACTTGGAATCTGGGTTTTTCTCTGATATTTTTCTTGTGACCATGGGCAAGACATTTAACCAATCTGGTTCCATTTTTCTCACTTGTGTAGACTATGAGGGATTAACTTAGGTGATTGCTAAAGAACCAACTCTAAATGTAGCTGATTTGCTAGGTACAAATGTGCTGATGATAAGTGTGCTGACTTTCTAGGCGCATGAATATTCTTTTTTTTAGATGAGTAAATGTAGTTTATTTAGAAAGTAAATTAGAGAGAGTGAGGAGATTCACCTCCTCAAGGTAGGGGAGGGCGCCAAAGCTAGGAAACATGGTGGCCGTAGCTCAAAGAGCCATGTGGACACACCAAGGTTTAGCAAAGCAATGGCCTCATGAATATTCTTGTCTCAAAAAGCTGTGCTAGCCGGCTCGGTGGCTCAACTTGTAATCTCGCGCTTTGGGAGGCTGAGGTGAGTGAATTGCCTGAGCCCACGGGTTCGAGACCTGCCTGGGCAACTTGGCGAGACCTCATCTCTACAATAAATCAAAAAAAAAATTAGCCGGGTGTGGTAGTGCTCGCCTGTAGTTCCAGCTACTTGGAAGGCTGAGGCGGAAGGATCGCCGGAGCCCAGCAGGTCGAGGCTGCAGTGGCCGGGAGCGGTCACTGCACTCCAGTCTGGGCGACAGAGTGAGACTCCAACTCAAAAAAAAAAAAAAAAAACAGCTGTGCTGACTATTGTCCCTTACCTTCTTGGGATATCAGCACTATTTTCTGTAATTTCAGTTAACTCTCACCTAAAGTAATTCTTACCTTTTTGTTTAGTAGTTGAATAATTGAGATTGACGGATTCAGATGTCTAAGAGGTACCATTGTAATGCTGTGGTTTTACTGTATTTTATTAATTCAATTCTGAATGTTTTTACTAAGTATTGTTTATCCAGCCCCATGCTGCATTCTTTATCTTTAAAGGAATAAAAGATCTGGGTTCTTTTATTTCTGACAATAATTGTCCTGTTTTTTAAAAAGTGTTTTGGAGGAAGTTAACTTAATTCAGAATATCTGTGGAGAGTAAATTTGATAATCAGCTTCTTCAAGGAAATTCTCAATTCTGATCGTCTCACTTGTCTGACGTTGTCAGTGGTTACTTTGGATCCAATATTTAAGAATTTTCAAGCTGGGCACTGTGGCTCATGCCTGTAATCACAGCACTTTGGGAGGCCAAGGTGGGAGGATTGTTTGAGCCCAGGAGTTCGAGACCAGGCTAGGCAACATAGCAAAAATCTCATGTTTACAAAAAATAAGAAAGTTAGCCAGGCATGGTAGCGTGTGCCTGTAGTCCCAGCTACACAGAAGGCCGAGGCAAGAGAGTTTCTTGAGCCTCGAAAGTTGACTGTGGTGAGTGAGCCATGATCATGCCACTGCATTCCATCCTGGGTGACAGAGTGAGACCCTGACATACACACACACAAATGTTTTTAAAGAATTTTTAGTAAGACTTAGCTCTTGAGCTTCATGAACTTTTTGACAAGTCTCTTACTCAAAGATATGATGTTCCTTACCAAGTGTACTGCTTACAAGGGCTTCTGTCTTTATTTATTTTTAATTTATTTTTTTGAGTCGGCGTCTCACTCTGTGCCCTGGCTAGAGTATAGTGGCACAATGAAGACTCACGGCTGCCTCAGCCCTCTGGGCTCAGGCGATTCTTCTGCCTCCACCTCCTGAGTAGCTGGGACTATAGGTACGTTCTATAGCGCCTGGCTACTTTTTTTATGTTTTATAGAGATGAGGTCTCGCTGTGTTGCCTAAGCTGGTCTTGAACTCCTGGGCTCAAGTGATCCTTCTGCCTTGGCTTCCCAAAATACTGGGATTATAGGCATGAGCCTCTGCGCTCAGCTTTGATACTCTTTTTTTAAAAATGGATTATGGAGGCTTGTGACTCACAGTCATATTACAGAGATTAGAGATGAGAAACTTACTTTCATTTTAGTTCAGGGTTAGCCCACCATATAAATAAATGTCTTTCTTTTTCTTGTCTAAGGTTCTTTTAGAAGCACAAGATATGGCAGTGAGAGACCACAATGTGGAATTCAGGTCCAATTTACATATAGGTAAGATTTTTAGTATTAGCATTAGAAAATGTCTTTCAATCGTAATGCCATGTTCTTATAAGAACATTTTTTAATAATACTTAGGACTTGGTTTGACAATGAAAATTGCTAGTTGTGGCTTCTTCAGCCTCAAGCATGGCAACTTTAATTTGTTAAAAATGGTAATAACTGTACTATTTTATTTTTACTTGTTCCATATTGAGACTGAAGTAATGAAACCTATTGCCAATAATTATTAAATAATGGATACATAGAGTGGTCTTTTAATCATAATAAAACAAAGAGTATAACCGCTTTAAAAAAATAAATTATTTGTTGGTCGGGCTCGGTGGCTTAGCCTGTAATCCCAGCACTTTGGGAGACCGAGGCAATTGGATTGCCTGAGCCTGTGAGTTCGAGACCAGCTCAGGCAACTTGGCGAGACCTTGTCTCTACAATAAATCAAAAGTTAGCTGGGTGTGGTATCGTGTGCCTGTAGTTTCGGCTACTTGGAAAGCTGAGATGGAAGGATTGCCAGAGCCCCAGCATGTTGATGCAGGGGTGGCTTTGAGCATGCCACTGTATTTTCCAGCCTGGGCAACAGAGTGAGACTCCCAACTAAAAAAAAAAAATTAGTTATTTGTCAACCAGAAGGAGGTAAATAAAGGACCTGAGGTAGACTTAAGATATGTGTTTATAACGTGCCAAGCCAGTGCCTGGTCCATACAGACATCCTATGATTTAACCTTCCAATGATCAGCATGGAAGATCTGTTGAACTGTGAAAGCCAGGGGGCCTTGGCCAGCTCAGATGACCCAGATGTGTTTGTTCCTGTTTGTTATTACATCCCGAAGCATTATCTCTGCTTTTATTTGCTTGTTCCACATCAAATTAAATTAATGTAAGTGAAAATGCTCCAGAAGCATGAGGCACTGTATAAATGTAAAGGGTTTTTTGCAGTATATCTCCATGCAGTTCTTTTCTGAGGAGATCAGCACTGATTAGAGAGCCCTCCTGCCCCTCCCAGCACTGCAGGAAAGTGGAACAGTGGTTAGAGTTATTGTTTTCCTCTCACTTCAGCAGCAATTACTCCTAACCTCAGCAGTTTTGTAATCAAACAAAGATGTTGATGTAGAAGCAAAATTTTCTCAATCTGCCAAACCTACATATAAGGAGGACTACTTTTGTTAAAGATATTTTAAATTCAAAATATGGGAAACTGCTACTTTCCAGATTGGGGGGGGGCAGGAAGGTCAGAGTCACTATGAGGCTATTAGTTGTATTTTACAATTTTTCAACAATTAGAGTACAAAAAAAGCCACCTGAATTCCACCTTGTCACGTGAGTCACCCTGCTGGAGAGGCTGACTCTGGTTAGGCTCAAGTCTTAATACCATTCACCTGGAATTGATGCTGGCAACCACACCTCCTTCTGAAGTTCAAATTAGTTATGATTTTTAATGGAACGATCTTACTTTAAAGCTGAATCTTGTATAACTCAATTCTGATGATACACAGATGCAGAGGGAATCAGAATGGCCGCTCAGAAGATGCTGGGCCATGTAGTGAATCATGAGCGCTTTCTCCTGGGAGCAGCATGAATAAATAATGTCGAGAGGGCTCAGTGTCTTTGGAAGGAAAGAAATGGATGAGGAGCAGGGTCGATTGCTTAAAACCTCTTGGTGATCTTTCCTGCTCTATGACTGTGAATATCAACTCAGATTTAATTTTATTCAGTTTCACAGGAATATGAGATTCCTAACTGATAGACTTTGTAATGGACTTTAGAGACAAATGAAATAGGGGTTGTCTTTAAATTTTTTTCAATAACTGTCTGTAACCCCTTTTCAATAATTATAGTAAAGAGAAATAGGATAAAGAGCTTAATCCTGTCATTCCAAATGAAGGAGCAAGGTCCACTGTTACCATTAAGCAAACATATACTTAACCGATTTTACATAAATGGTCTTTTTTTTTGAGTTGAAGTTTCACTCTGTCACTCAGGCTGGAATGCACTGACATGATTACAGCTCACTGCTGGTTCAAACTCCTGGGCTCTGGCTCAAGTGATCCTCCTGCCTCAGCCTCACAAGTAGCTGAGACTACAGGTGCATACCACCATGCCTGGCTAATTTTTAAATTTTTGTAGGGACGAGGTCTTGCTGTGTTGTCCAAGCTAGTCTTGAGCTCCTGGGCTCAAGCAATCCTTCTGCCTTGGCCTCCCAATGTGTTCGGATTACAGGCATGAGCCACCATGCCCAGCCTCCTATTTTTCTTATTTTTATTCTTTTAGGTGGTCCAAGTGCAGTTTTGTTACATGGATATGCCATTAGTGGTGAAGTCTTTTAGTGCAACCCTTCTGCCTTGGCCTCCCAATGTGTTCGAATTATAGGCATGCTGGCAACTACGCCTCCTTCTTTTAGTGCAGCCTTTTAGTGTAACTATCACTTGAATGGTGTACATTGTACTCATTAAGTGATTTCTCAGGCCTCACTCCGTCCTCCCACTCTTCTGAGTCTCCAGTATTTATTATTCCATTTTCTACATCCACGTGTGCATTGTTTAACTCCTACTTACAAGTGGGAACTTGTGATATTTGACCTTCTTTTTCTGAATTATTTCACCTAAGGTGAAAAAAAAAGCCTCTGGTTCCATACATGTTGCTGCAAAAGGCATGGTTTTATTCTTTTTTATGCCTGAGGAGTACTTCATGTTGTGTGTGTTTGTACACCACATTTCTTTATCCAGTCATCCATGATGGACACTGAGGTTGTTTCCATATCTTTGCTATTGTAAATGGTGCTACAATAAACATACAAGTGCAGGTATCTTTTTGACGTAATTATTTATTTTCCTTTGGACTGATTGATACTCAGTTGCTGGATCAAATGATAGTTCTCTTTTTTGTTCTTTGAGAAGTTTCCATGCTGTTTTCCATAGAGGCTGTACTAATTTGCATTCCCACCAACAGTATGTAAGCATCCTTGTCTCCACATTCTCTCCAACATCTCTTATTTTTTGACTTTTTAATAGGAGTTATTCTGACTGGTGTAAGATGCTCTCATTGTGGTTTTAATTTCATTTCTCTGATGATGAGTGATGTTGAGCCTTTGTTCATGTTTATGCACATTTCTGCTGAAAAATCTCTACCTTACCTGCACTCTCTTTTCATTTAGTTATTTGTTAAAGTCACTTTTCTTAAGTAGGGCTAATGGATTTGTCTTATGATATAAAAAATTTTTCATTCACTAAGTATTTTGTTTGGTTTTTTTCCAGTTAGGGTCTCACTCTGACGCCCAGGCTAGAGTGTGGTGGCACGATTGCGCCTCATGGTAGCCTTGACTTCCTAGGCTCAGGTGATCCTTCTGCCTCAGTCCAGTGAGTAGCTGGGGCTATAGGTGCATACCACCACCCCTGGCTCAATTTTTGATTTTTTTGTAGAGATGAGGTCTCACTTTGTTGCCCAGGCTGGTCTCAAACTCCTGGGTTCAAGCAATCATTCTGCCTCAGCCTCCCACAGTGCTGGGATTATGGGTGCGAGCCACTGTGCTCGGCCTGCTCACTAGGTATTTTGATGCCTAATTTCATAATCAAAAGAGATGAGAGCCTTCAGGAATATGAAATATCAGATATTTTATCTCTGTTTTTGCCAGATTTCCTCAGTAAGAATCATATGAAATTCTTATTAAAAATACATTCCCATACAAATATTAGCTAGGCATGGTGGTATATACCTATACTCCCAGCTACTTGGAAGGCTGAGGTGGAAGAATTGCTTGAGCTTAGGAGTTCAAGACCAGCCTGGGCAACAGAGCAAGACCCTGTCTCTACTTAAAATAAAAAATTAGCTGGTGTGGTGGCATACATCTGTAGTCTCAGCTACTTGGCAGGCTGAGGCGGGTAGATCGTTTGGACCCAGGAGTTGAGGCTGCAGTGAGCTGTGATTGCGCCTGGTAACAGAATGAGACCCCAATTCAAAATAATAATAATAATACAGATTCCCAGGCCTTGCCACAGACCCATTGGATCTGAAACCCCAGATCTGGGAAGCTATTTTTTTAATGTGGATGCTTATCCGTAAAATTTGGGAAATTGATTTATCTTACTGTATTCTTGGAAAAGGCCTAGATATTTCCTTCTATAGACTTTTATCAGAGTTTTGAAAGACTGGGTGCTGGCTGACTACCATTTTGATTCAGCAGCAGCTCTTTCAGTACCCTGAGATAAGTGTAGACATTTAAGAGAAGTGCTTTTTTGGTAGCGTATGTTCTCATTATATGGTAATTCTTTGAGATGCCCGTCATTGGTCTAAAGCTAATACCTGGTGTTGCACAACCACAGATTTAGAAACTTCATTTCTTTTTCAAACTTAAAATGATGACTAATGACAGTGTGAATAGGCTTTAACATGTGGACATGAACTAATAAAATGTCACTGCTTAGTGATTCATGGCATCTAAAGTGAATCACTTTAGGGACAGTGATCCATTGACTTTGTACCTCAATCTTCTAGGCTAAGAGGGATAAAGGTAGGGCGGGGGGCTTCTAATGTTAAAATTTCAAGATTCACATTCACCTAAGTACTAGTAATAGGAAATGTTGGCAGTATTTTACTTTATTGTATTTGCTTATTTCTTCTTTTAATTTTCTTATTTTAAAGATGTAGGGTACAAATTCAAGGTTAGGTATGCAAATGTTCACCATGCAGGTACACTTGCTGATGAGGTGTGCCTCTACTCCCCCTGCAGATTCCCACTACTGCCAACTCCACAGCAATATTTAATTAAATTAATTAATTAATTTATTTTTTGAGTTGGAATCTCACTCTGTCGCCCAGACTGGAGTGCAGTGGCTGCTCCCGGCTACCACAGCCTCGACCTGCTGGGCTCCGGCGATCCTTCCGCCTCAGCCTTCCGAGTAGCCGGAGTTACAGGCACACGCTACCACGCCCGGCTAATTCACAGCAATATTTTAAATACATGGCATGTTTTGAGCATTATTTTTAGAAAAGCATAAGTTGTTCTCATTTTTGAGATGTCTTAATGTTTTCTTTTATTCAAAAACTGGTTGACCAGCCTGGGCAACATAGTGAGACCTTGTTTCTACAAAAAGTAAAAATATTAGCCAGGCATTGTGGCATATGCCTGTAGTTCTAGCTACTTGAGAGGTTGAGGCAGGAGGATTACCTAACAGGAGGTTGAGGCCATGAAGAGCTATGATGGTGCCACTGTACTCTAGCCTAGGTGACAGAGTGAAACCCTGACTCAAAAAAAAAAAAAAGTTTGATACTTCCGTGTGCATACTACCCACAAAATTAGGTGGTATATACATATTTTATATCAGTTTAAAACATCTAGAACTTGTAGTTTTTGTAGTTTTGTTCTTTGGCAGTAGTATCCCTTTGGAAGAATCTATAAATTGTTCTGTGTTGGAAGAAAACCACGCACACCATTAGTATTATCTGTATTGGGAAATCTTTGAAATTTGTTTTAGAAGTTGAGCAAATTTACTAGAAACCTCTGTATTGAAAAAAGTGATATTAATTAGCAGATGAGGTATTTTGAAATTTTGTCTGTTCTTGTGGATTATGAACTTTTGGGACAATACCAAAATAGTGTAAGATTGGCTGAAGGAGGTGACTTTTACGGATGAAACATGAGCACTTGTAAAGATGGTACAGAACTTTGGACCAGAAAGAGTAATACAGATAAATGGTATTGTTGGACTACAGAAGAAAAGGTCAGTATGGGTTAGAATAGTCCTGGAGTTTTTCTAGAAAATATTGATTTTTGCCAATAGACTTTTGGGAATCTGGAGGAATGTCCAGGATAAGAACAGATTTTCAAGGTGTAGTAACCATGTACACAATGGCACATAGTAGGAATAAGCAGGAATTGTGTAGGACAATGAGTAGGATAGTGTGAAGGAAGTAGAGGGTTGGTCCAGAGGCCTGATTATGGCAGGCTGGGGCTTTTGGTTGAAGCCATATTGAAGAAGTTTGGGCAAGAGATTTATGTTACTAAAGTCATGTTTTAAGACTGTTAACTGTAAGCATTAGGTTTTAAGTGAGCTCAGTAGGGTGTCTAGGGGTGGCATCCTTGACATCTTGGTCGCTGTTATATCCCTGGAGCCCAGGATGGAACCGCACCCAGCAGGAACTCAGAAATATTTGTTGAGTGAATGAATGGCACAGTTTTGGGTCTTCTCAACCCGTATTTCAGTCGGAACAGGTCAGCATTACAGTGTTTTATGTATTGGGCTCCTACATGTTGTTTCATGTTCTGAAGCATTCTACTTTCCATTCTAAAGCAGTTTGAAGCCTCTAACATATGTGATTAGTGAAGGAGAGATGGGAAGTGAGGGAACCAGAAACCAGTATGGAAGGCATGCTCTAAGTCCTGATGTCAGTCATTCCTCAGAGTGGCTATGTTGGGTATTCCCATGACAGTGAATTAAAGAATCTTCTAATGTGTCAGAAGAATTAATGTTTTTGTTTTGACACAAATAAATGATGGCCTATGGCTGTAAGGTTGCCAGATGACTATTTATGGCTTTAAGATGAAATCATGCTATAAAGGTGTTGTTTCTGCTCCTGAGCAGATCTCTGTGGTTTGTGTTTTTGGGGAGAGATAAAAGGAAAATGGGAGTTGACATAGACCTTGATGGGGTTGTTTGTTGTAGTTTCATAGGTTATACCGTACTGCAGTTAGCAGATAGTAGTACTGCAGTTAGCAGGTAGGTAGTACTGCAGTTAGCAGGTAGGTAGTTTTGATACTTCTTTCACTGGAGTAGTGTTCGTTTTTCTGAGTATTTGAAACTGGTGCTCAAGTTGGGTAGAGTGATTTTGTATGGAGGTAGCCATCATGTTAGTAAGATGCTTTTTTAGAAGTCTTCTCTTCTCCTTCCAGTCTCACTGTTCTTCTTTGTAGGTTTTCTTCAGACAGGCTGATCAAGGAGCTGGTGGTGCATCGTTAACGGTGATTTGTGTGATGCTGCTTTCTCCCGGGAAATGCTTAAGCTCACTGTTCAGTGCCCAGTAGATGGCGTTGATTTTAGGGCAGTAGCTCTTTCTTTATCTCTCTGAGCCCTAGGCAGTTTTCTTAATCACCTTCCATCTTTAGCATTCTTTTTGGCAAAACTAGGAGGCTTCTGCTGAAACCTACTTCACAAGAGGGTACTGTAGTTAGAGGATTGTCAAGTGCATACTTTGATATACCTTGATATAGTCCCTGTATTCATAAAGTTAAGAATATAAGGATGTTGAGTATTGAAATGGATAATTTCATATGCACTCTATAGGGTCTACCTTTTTAAAAGGCTTATTAAATCAAAGTAACTGACTAAATACATTCAGAAAATACTAGAAGAAAACAGCTACTACCCTGACTTATTGTGGGTGAACAGGTGAACAGATTTCTTCTTGTGTCCTATTTTAAAGGTTTCTTCAGATATTCAAGGTCAAACTTTAATGTCTGGCATTGGGGAAGAAGGCTTAGGGGAGGGGAGCCGAGAGGGCATTTGTGATGCTGGAGTTCCTAAAACTGGCTGCGAATCACAACATCTGGGGTGGGGGTGTTTGCTCAGAATGTAATTTCCAAAGCCCCTCCCGCACAGACTAAATTAGAATCCCCAGAGATGGGGTCTCAGCATCTGACCACTTTAATTATGTTTCCTAGGTTCATGTGATGCAGCTGGTCCAAGGACCAGCATTTGGGAACCCCTGGCTCCAGTGTCTTCTCATCACAGTTAGAATAAACTCAGACCTCCTGCCTCATCCTCCAGGGGCCTGTATCATCTTGCTCCCACCTTTATCTCTGATCTCTTTCCCATGTTTGTACCCTCTACCGTGTTTACTGTGCTGCAGCATGCTGGTCTTCCATTTCCTAAAATAAGCTGAGAACGTTCCCACCGCTGGGCCTTTGCACTTGCTTCCTCTGCCTGGAATGCCCTGCCCCTAGGTGCTTGCATGGGTGATTCATTCTAGTCTTAGAGCAGTGTCTCTTCCTCAGGGATGCCTCTTGACTCGCCCTATCTGGAGTACCCCGTGAATCTGTTACATCATTCTGGTTTATTCATAGAACTTGTCATTAACTGAAATTATCACTTTGTTTTTGTCTTTTCTCTCCGGGATGTAAACTGCGTGGAGGCAGGGGTCTTGTCAGTCTTGTTCACTTGTGTTTCTCCAACACTAGGATCATGTTGGGTCCTTCGTTAGGACTCAAGAGACACTTGTTTTGAGACAAACCTGCTCTGTTAGCCATGAGCTCCTATCATCTTGGAATCCAGTCAAGGGAAGGGCGGAGATTGCTCAGCTGACCAGGCTTGTGCACAGCAGTGGTTTCCAATGATGTCTCTCTCTTCCCTGTCCAGCTGAGTCCACCTCAGGGCGAGGCCAGTGTCTGAAACGTATCCGTTACCATGGCAGAGGCCACTTTGGGATCATGGAGAAGGTTTACTGCCACTATTTTGTGAAGTTGGTGGAAGGACCGCCGCCTCCGCCTGAGGCGCCCAAGACTGCCGTCGCCCACGCCCAGGAATACATCCAGGGGCTTCGCAACCGGACCATCATTCACACTCTCTGATGGGGCTCAGATGCCATGGTGTATAGATTTTGCCATTTATTTGCTAAAAATAAACAAAAATTAAAGGCAGCTTCTTTTTGTGATTTGTCCTTGAATGATTGAAACACAGCGTCTAACTACTCATTTTGTATGAATATTTATAGGGCTCTGCCCACCTCTCTTGAGCCTCTGGGCATATTTGTGTGCATTTGCAACTTGGAAGGGCAAAACAGCTTTAAACGCAGTGGCAGAGTATGATTCTGAATGCTTTTGAGTGCCTTTTGGAGGGAAGGTTGCCTTTCCAGCTAGTGTACTGCAGGTGGCAGTTTTGACACCAGATTGTAGATGTCATGGCTAAGAAAGCTTGTCCTCATTCCACTTGACTTTCTCTCGGGACTGGGAGACTGTGGTAGAGATTATCATGGCTACTGTTTCATTACAGTATTTTAGGGCAGTCAGAGGTCTGCTTTTGCTTTCACTGTGGGCACAGACCAGTGGGTGAGAGATTATGTTTTTCTTTACTGTTTGAGCAGTAACTTGAAATTACAGGAGTTTATTTGATCTAAAACCCCCCAAACCCTTTAACTTTGAGAGTTTTCTTCTAGTTAAATAGAGCCTGTTTTTATATCTTTTTCCAGTGCTGCTTTTTATTTGGATATCTTGTTTAAGATTGATTAATTTTTCAGGGTGGATTCAATTACTGAGATGAATTGAACCGATCTCAGTACTGCATTCTGAAATGAGGCAGTAGGTGGTGCTCAGTTACCTCTTGTTAGCAAAAAATTGTTAGTTTCAAATCAGTATGTCCAGCACTACCTGTCTCTCTTTGATACCCATGTTTCATTGACAAGCACTCTGTCCACAGCCCTAGTCCAGTGTTTCCCAAACTTCAGAATGCAGAGGAAGAATCTGGGGTGCTTACTTGTTAATGCTAACTGCTGGGCCCCACCCAATGGTTCTGATTGACTAGATCTTATAAGGGGCTAGTTCTAGAAATCTCTGTTTTAAACAAGCACTTCCAGGCACTTCTGTTGCAGAGGACTACACTTTGAGAACACTAGTGGGATGGAGAATGTAGTTTTAGTGCCATGTTTTAAGATGGCATTAATAATAGCTACTATTTGCTGGGACCTTGTGTTACATGCCAAGCTCCGTGTATTTTACATAATTCTTCACAACATCCTGCAAATGTAGGTATCGTTTTGCCACTTTGCAAAGGAAGAAATTGAAGCACTCAAAATTCAAATAATGATCACAGTCACACAGCTTGTAAATATTGGAGCTATGACTTAAATGAGGTTTCTAAGGTACCTACTTCTGTACACCTAATGAATAGACAGCTGGGATTTTGTGTCTCTCCAGTTAGCCTAACGAATGCATGAGTAAAAAAGCATCAGGGCCAGGAGTTCATGATCAACCTAGGCACCATAGCCAGATCCCGTCTCTATAAAAAAAAATAGGAAAAATTAGCTGGGCAGTGTGGTCCCTGTAGTCCCAGCTACTCAGTAGGTTGGGGCTAGAGGATTGCCAACCTGGGTGACAGAGCAAGACCTTGTCTCAAAAAAAAGGTATGAGGACTCAGTGAACTAAACCAAAGTTTAGGACAGTTCCGTTCTGGGTCCTAAGCTGTTGTGGCATGGAGTCATGGAAATAACGGAGTGGTGAAAGGTGACCTCCATCCGGTCCTTGCGTGCACATCGGCCAAGAGGAAGACTCTGGGCAGATTCCTTACCTTGCTGGCCTCCACTTCATTTGTCTGTGAGAGAAGAGGGAGGCACAGTGCTCTCTGTAGACAGCCTTTTCCAGAATCACTTGAATAATTTGTGTAAAAGTTCAAATTCCTGGGCCTTACTCTCAAGTGAACCGGAATCTTTGTGGGAGACCAGGGAACCTGCATGTTTAACAAGTGCCCTAGTGATTTGCATTTTGGAAAATAACCAGACCAGAGGATCTCAATGCTCTTGTTCAGCAGAGATACTCTGTAATTCTTAGCTGTAGAGTGTGACTTCCTTGGGTGTGACTCAAACAAGCCAGGTGGTGTTGTGGACTTTGTAACTATAAGAGATGGAAATGAAGGTACTACTTCAATTAAGCTGTTGAAGCTATTTGAAAGAGGTAAGGAAAAGACAGTCTTGCATTCTTTTTTTAAATTTTTTTGAGTTGGAGGCTCCCTCTGTCACCCAGACTGGAGTGCACTGCCGCTCCCGGCCATCGCAGCCTTGACCTGCTGGGCTTCCACCTCAGCCTTCCAAGTCACTGGAACTACAGGCGCGCTACCATGCCCGGCTAATTTTTTGATTTATTGTAGAGAAGAGGTCTCGCCAAGTTGCCCAGGTGGGTCTCGAACCTGCGGGCTCAGGCAATTCACTCACCTCAGCCTCTCAAAGTGCGGAATTACAGGCTGAGCCACCGAACCTGGCTCAGTCTTGCATTCTAATGAAAACGTGCTTGTGATCTAAGGTGAAGCCTTCATTTAGGACTGCTTCTAGTCTGTTGTAGTGTAATAATAGCTAACCTGTAGCACTTGCTGTGTATTTGTGCTGTTTTAGGCACTCTCTATATTATCTCAATTAATGACTGCTTCCTACTGTGACTGTGGTACAGAGCACATCAGGCTGGTTTTCATGACTGAAGGGCACTTTCTAACATCAGTGAATGCTGTGGTCCCCACTTGAAGTTCAACTTCATGTGTTCAGAAACTTATCGGTTATTCTTTAGTGGTGATCTCAGAATGCTTGTAATTTCCTTCTGTCTTTTTCAGAGAATTATGATAGACTCAAGTTTCGTTGCTGGAGTGTATAGCACACTCAGAAGCACACTAACTGCAAGTACAACTCAATAAAGGATCTGCTGGTGAATGTGCCCAAGGAACCCCCACCGGGGCAGGAAACAACATGAATAGCGGCCCCGTAGTACCCCCCTCCCCCCGCCACCAAAGCCACCTTTTCTTTTTGAGTTGGCATCTCACTCGTTGCCCAGATTGGAGGGCAGTGGCACACTCACCACCACTGCAGCCTCAACCTGTTGGACTCTGGTGATCCTTCCACCTCAGCCTTCCAAGTAGCTGGAACTACAGTCGCATGCCACCATGCCCAGCTAGTTTTTGTGATTTATTGTAGAAAGGAGGACTCACCAAGTTGCCCAGGCTGGTCTCAAACCCCTAGGCTCAGGCAGTCCTCTTGCCTCAGCCTCCCAAAGTGCTGGGATTATAGGCTGAACTACCGCGCCTGGCTCACTACCCCATCTTTCCTCCCCAAAGGTAACTATTATCCCGATAGATTTTTTTTTTTAAGGCCAGCTTTTGTTTTTTCCAACTCCACATAATTTATTGGGTAACCATGATAACCCTGGTGCTGAGGATACAGGCATTGAACAGAGTAGCTACAGCTTCTGCCTATGGAGCTCATTCTGATAGGAAAGAAACTGTAAATCAGTCATTCCAAGTATTTACTGTGCCAAGTGTCAGCGAACTCAAGGGATGGGGACTCTGAAAAATAGTTACTGTCTTTTTTGGGAGTTCATTTCCTTAAAGAGATACAATGATGGGGAAGGATAAAGACAACAAATACGTGGATTCATGGAGGGTTATGATATTATCAAGAAGGTCAACTTTAAGGCAATTGTTTTGTTTTTAACAGTATAAACATTAGGACTGATTTTTCCTCCCATGGGTTAAAGTCCATGTGGGTTGTGGCTTTTTTCTCCCTTCCCCTCCTCTCTCTTCCTCTCCCCTCCCCTTCCCTCCCCTCTCCCGTCCCTTCCCCTTTCTTTTACAGGATCTTTTTTTTTTTTTTACTTTGACTTTTATACAAAATTTATTTTTAAAAAGACTGAGTAACATTACTGTAAATTACCTTGATAACGGTACCTAAAAACAGTTTTTAAAGAATAAAGTTTTGGTTTGGAGATTACAAAAAAAGTATATACATTTTAAGAAAGGGAAAAACTACTAAAATTGTAATATATACCAATAACAGAAAACTTTTCCAATTACAAGAGGTGCTCAAAGTGGTTACCATCAGCATCCAGACACTTCTGATTATGGTGAACTACTGCTTGAGCAATGCTGACCGAGTCCACTTGTATCGCTGCACATGCTATTTCAATTTCTTCCTGAAGTACTACCAGTGTAGCTGGTTTTCTATGGTACATCATATCCTTAAAGATCCCCCATAGGTAGAAGTCAAGGAGTGTTAAGTCAGGAGAACGTGGAGGAAACTCAACCGCACCTCTTTGTCCTATCCATTGTCCTGGCAAATTCTCATCAAGGTAAGCTCTCACGTCTTGGTGGAAGTGCGGTGGGGCCTCATCTTGTTGAAAGTAAAATCGATCATTCCCAAAAAGTGTACGAATTGTAGGTAGAATGGATGTGCGTAGCATGTCTAGGTACACTTGGCCAGTAAGAGTCCCTTCAAAAAAGAATGGTCCAATTATTCCCCTTAATGACAGTCCACACCAGACATTGAGGCCTGGTAAATTGAGTTCTTTTTCCACATTAACGTGTGGATTTTCTGGAGCCCAATATACACAATTATGTCAGGTCATTGTTCCATTCAATTTAAACTCTGTTTCATCAGACCAAACCATTTTCCCCACAAACTCCTCATCATCTCGTAACATGTTTTGGAACCACTCACAATACTGCACCCTTTGGTCAGGGTCGTCCTCATTCAGTGCATGTATTAATCTTGGGATGAAAACTTTACATTTTGCTGTTTTAAGAACACATGGTATGCTTGTTCTGTTAACTCCTGTCTCACGTGCACATTGTTTGGTAGACTTCCATGGCAAGCGTGTAAGCTGTCTCGACACCATAGCAGAAGCAGCAGGGCTTGTTGGTGTGTGAAGCCTCTCGGATCTTCCCTTGTGCACATCACACACAGTACCATGTGTCTCAAACTCATCACGAATACGTTCAATTGTTAGGTGTGTTGGAGGTTCTGTTGCATACTTACGTCTCCATTGTTGTACTTCCACAACGTTCTCAAATTTCAAATACCACTTCAAAATGGCCTTGCATTCCTCAAATGACAACTGTGCTGCTGTCATTTTATTTGTCCTGCCTACTGCAGGGAGACACTAGCATCATTTGATTAACGCCATCTTTTGAGCAAATGTAATTCAACTTCGAAGAGTAATACATGGATAATATCGCTTAAAATGTGTATGCATTTTTTTGGCACACCTGTTTAGGCTATAAAAACACTTATCTGATAAGACCATCCATCTGCTTTTGTTTCTATCATTCATAAACCAGAAACAGAATTTTCAACACAGACTGCAGATCCAGGTCTTCTAAAACTGGAATACCTTGCTTCATGTTACCTCAAGGTCAGTCTTATTCTCAGTAATACTTTGGGATATCTGTCACCGAGATGTTCTATTTTCTTCAGCACAATTTGCCATGGCTGCCAGCGGGCCCCTTCACTTCGGTGCCGGTGCCGCTAGAGCTGCGCCATGCCCCCAGTCAACTGGACAACCATAGCCTCCAACTGACCTTCTTGACAGCTCTGCGACTTCTCTGATTAGAACTAGGTGCTGTCCTGGAGGGCATGGTGGACGGGTGCCGCACTAAACAAATCTACCTAATAAGGACTCCTCTCCCTTCATGCCACAAACACAAAATGCGATAGAGCTGCGGCCACCACTGCCCAGACAAAATGGCGCCTTTTACAGGATCTTGCCCTGTCACCCAGGCTGGAGTGCAGTGGCATAATCAGAGCTCAGTGCATCATCCAACTCCTGGGCTTAAGCAGTCCTTCCACCTCAGTCTCTTTAGTAGCTAGGACTACAGATACACACCTCCATACTCAGCTAATTTTTAAAAATGTTTTTGTAGTCACAGGATCTTGCTTTGTTATCTGGAGTGGGCTTGAACTCCTGGCCTCAAGCAGTCTTCCTGCCTTGGCCTCCCAAAGTGCTGGGATTGCAGGCATCAGCCACTGCACCTGGCTGCACTTTAATACTGAGGTTGAAATAACAATTTTCATTGTTAAGAGGTGCTCAATCACAAGTATGGGTTTTAAAAAGGACATGTTTTACAGTAGGTGAGCGTCTGAACAGATTCTAAAGCAGGAGACAGTTGCAGAGGTAGCCGGGCTTGGTGGCTCAGCCTGTAATCCCAGCACTTTGGGAGGCTGAGGCAAGTGGATTGCCTGAGGCTGTGGGTTCTAGACCAGCCCGGGAAACTTGGTGAGACTTTGTCTCTACAATAAAAATAAAAAATTAACCAGGTGTGGTAGCGCACGCCTGTAGTTCCGGCTACTTGGAAGGCTGAGGTGGAAGGATTGCTGGAACTCAGCAGGTTGACACTGGGGTGGCCATGAGCATGTCACTGTACTCCAGCCTGGGCGACAGAGTGAGACTCCAACTCAAAAAATAAAAATAAAAATAAAGTTACAGAGGTGATGTGAACACTTCTAGAGAGCCTTTGTCCCTGATCCTGTCTAGGATCAGATCTCTATTTGAGAGAGGTTCTAGGCTTTGTTCTTGTATCAAACCAGCCTGAAAGAATGGACCAAAAGCAGGAAGCCATTTTTAAAATCTTGTTTTTAAACCCTAACACAATGATGAAAAAGTAGAAGCTATGTCCTGGAGAAATCCATTTTTTATTTTGTTCCTAAACCCTAACACAATGATGAGAAAGTAGAGGCTGTGTCCTGGAGAAATACATACTCTAGGTAAAGATTAATTTTGCCAACTTTGTCTTTTCAGAAACACAGACTCCTTAAGCATGACTGGTAGCATATTGTAATTTGTCTTTTTTGGAAACCCAGACTTCTCAAGCATGACTAGTATCGACCCATTGTGTATTCCGTGCCTGGTGACCAGGACCCCCCTCAGGGTCTCCAAGACATCCACAGGTGGTCAACAAGGAAGTCACAGCAGTCACGTCTACCTGATTGCAACATCTCCAGGGAAAAGGATTTAAGCCAGGACTCTAGGGGGCTACGGGGCCACCCTCATCTAGAGTGTAGGCCCGCTTACTGTCTGTGGGAAGTGAACCTTTCGGAAATAAATCTTTTCTTCTTTTACCTCTTTGTGTGCTGCAAGTCTTTGCATTACTCGGACCTCTGGTTATCAGCGCACACCTCTGGCACATCGGCTTGGGCGGTGCTGCGCCCTCTTCATCCATCCATCTATCGACCCTCACCCTATCTGTACCCTAACACAGCCTACTGTGAATTCTGTTAATGTATTATTTAGGATATGGCTATTATGATATTGCAAATACTTTGAATGAAATTGAGGAAATACCAGTAGGTGAATTATACTTACACACAAAAATAAGAGTTTTTAAAAAATGTTTGTTCAATAGGGACTTGAATGAATTATTATTTTCACATATGGCCCAAGGAGTCTCATACACATTCTAGTTTGGAAAAGAAGGGATAGCACTATTAATATAAAAGTGAAAATTAAGGAAAAAGTTTTAAATGAACCCAAAAGGGTGGTTTACACATGGAGGAACGCATTCTGCCGTCAGTTTGAGAAAATTTCGAAATGTCCTGAAGATCGTCTGTAAATTCCAGGCGTCTATGATGGACCCAGGGTAAGAAGTCTTGATTAAGATGATTTAAGTTATCTATCTACCTATCTATTTATCATCATCTATCTATCTATCCACCTTGTGACAGTTCTTTTCTCCTTCTATATAGCTGTGCTCTTTATAAAGTGACTTGTATGTAGCTCCTCTTATTAAGAGGTGGAGTCTTAGGATCTGGGTGGGCTTTGTGACTCCTTTAGCCAACAGAATGTAACAGAAGTGATTGTCTGCCAGTTTTTAGTCTAGGCCTCAGGGTCCTTGCTTGCTTTCTTTTTTTTCCTGGACCTCTGCTTCTGCCATGTAAACAGGCCCTGGCTAACCTGCTGGAGGACTAGAGACCACACGGAAGGGAACTGTGAGCCCCCAGCTGACAGCCAGCCAAACATCAGCACAGCTGCCTGTCCAACCAAAAACTGACTACAGGGGCATGAATGAGCCCAGCTGAGACAAAAAATACCACCACAGACTGACCTATAGACTCATGAAGAGTAATCACTGCTTGTTGTATAAGCCACTGAGATTTGAGATAGCTTGTTATACTGTAATAGCTGTGATAAATATTTCAAACTTTGTATCCTGCAGAGAATACCTATACTTTTAAAATGGCTATAAAATTTATGAAATTGATTCTAGGCTTATCATAATGAAAGCCTTAACAGATTCTTCCAAGTAGAAATTATATAGGCCTCTTTTTCAAATCATACTGCTCTAAAACTAGGAATTTTTTCTTTTTAAAAAGTTTGAATATAATTCAAGCTACTTGATAATTGAACACTCCTAACTTTTTGGGGGGTGGGGTTGGGGGGGAGATATTATTAAATATTAGATATTAAAATGTGCAGATCCTGTGAATCCAATTGAGAAAAACAAATGAAGAAATTAGGTATGGGCAAAGGGCATACAGAGAAGATTAAGAATCCTATGTAGAAGTATGCTGGATCAGACTACAGTCAGCTTGGTTGGCCTGGAAGTACATTTCCCAAGATCCCATTCTCTAAATGGTTCTGTGTTAGAATTAGCCAAAAGATAAACTTGAGCAAGATGTGGGAGTTGGAAGTGACACTCCTAACAATCATTTTGGCATCCTGATTTCTGTCATAGTGGTGTCTCAGTTAAAGACACCAATATCAAAGCAGCAAGTATCCCACTCCAACGTCTTATGAGACTAATTTAATCACAAAGGAACTGCTAAAAAATACTGGATAGTTTAATCTCCAAGTAGGCCCAAGAACTGTATTTTAAAACTACATATTCGTGGCCAAGTATGGAGGCTCAAGCCTGTAATCCCAGCACTTTGGGAGGCGAGGTGAGAGGATTACTTGAACCCAGGTTTTCAAAACCAGCCTGGGCAACTTGGCGAAACCTTGCCTCTACAATAAGTCACAAAAATTAGCTGGGCATGGTGGCGTGCATCTGTAGTTCCAGCTACTTGGAAGGCTGAGGCGGAAGGATCACCTGAGCCCAGCAGGTCGAGGCTTCGATGGCCGTGAATGTGCCACTGAACTCCAGCCTGGGCGACAAGGGTGAGACTCCAACTTAAAAACAAACAAAAAAATGTATCCAGGATCAATGTCATCGGATGACAGAAAAAAGATTCTCCCTCTCCACAATAGACTGTTCTAGTGAAAAGACCACTCATGATACTGTGGACTTGGTACCAGGATTCCACCATAGCTGCTCCCTAAGGGCCTAGTGCCTGTGAACTGGCTTGATGGACTAGATCGCCTCCTCCTCTGTGACCCCCTCCTCAAATTGTTCTCTTCCGTCTCTCAGTCTCGCATGGGTATAATTTATACATATGTCATATGACTGGACGTTAGCTGTAAGTCCAGAAATGTACTTTTTAGTTTTCTAATCTCTGAAGCTATTCAATGTCCTCTGGTCAGAGACCACCACAAACACAGCTCAAGTTGAACAAGTTGGGTTTATTGCTTGTTGCACCAAGGGAGGACCTACACCCTAGGGAGCCATGGAGGGTCTCAATAAGAGATATTAGGTAGAAACTGTTATAGGATTTGGGCTTAGGCTGGGTGATTCGTGAAGGGGCTACGGAAATGGATTTGTTCTAGATTGTATATTGTCAGAAAGAGGGACAATTCGCCGGGCTCGGTGGCTCAGCCTGTAATCCTGCGCCTTTGGGAGGCTGAGGTGAGTGGATTGCCTGAGCCCACGGGTTCGAGACCCGCCTGGGCAGCGAGACCTCATCTCTACAATAAATCAAAAAATCAGCCGGGCGTGGTAGCGCATGCCTGTAATTCCGGCTACTTGGAAGGCTGAGGCGGAAGGATCGCCGGAGCCCAGCAGGTCGAGGCTGCGGTGGCTGGGAGCGGCCACTGCACTCCAGTCTGAGCGACAGAGTGAGACTCCAACTCAAAAAAAAAAAAAAAAGGGACAATTCTTCTTCTTTTTTTTTTAAATATGGAATGCTTCACGAATTTGTGTGTAGAATTTTTTTGTTTTTTTTTCAAGTTGGAGTCTCACTCTGTCACCTGTTGGAGTGCAGTAGCATGTTCACAGCCACCCCAGCATCGACCTGCTGGGCTCCAGCAATCCTTCTGCCTAAGTCTTCCAAGTAGCCAGAACTACAGGTGCATGCTACCATGCCTGGCTAAGTTTTTGATTTTACTGTAGAGATGAGGTCTATTGCCAAGTTGCCCAGGCTGGTCTTGAACCCCATCTCTTGCCTTGGCCTCCCAAAGTGCTGGGATTACAGGCTTGAGCCACAGTGCCTGCCTTTTTTTTTTTGAGTTGGAGTCTCATTCTGTCACCCAAGCTAGAGAGCAGTGTCACAATCGACTTCCTGGCTCAAGTGATTCTTCCATTTCAGCCTCTCGAGTAGCTAGGACTACAGGTGCACACCACCATGACCGGATAATTTTTTGACTTTTTTGTTGATACGAGGGGTAGCCATGTTGCATAGGCTGGTCTTGAATTCCTAGACTCAAGCATTCCTCCTGCCTTGGCCTCTGAAAGTGCTGGGATTACAGGTGTGAGCCACTATGCCTGGCCAAGTAGGTGTGGGGGACCAATTCTATGATTATCTCAAATTTTATCAATGGGAAGTGCAAACTGGAGAAGAAAAAAGGTATAATTGGTAAAGAATAAGCAGTCATTCATTTTGACCAAGAGAGGAGAATTTTGATATTTTGTGGGTGACACGGTGAACTTATTTTTGATGAAACTATGGTGTGGACTTGCTTTGTCTCATTGAATCATGGTCTCAGAGTAACCTTGTCTGAGTTTGGTATTCTGTGACATGGTTTATGTCTAATGGAGAACAACATGGCCTAGTTGTGAGTGCCTGACCAACTTCAGAATGTTGGGGGCCGCTCTTTTCTCTCTCAAGTACAAGCTAGAAGGGGATTGTTGAGTAAGTTAATTTGCTGTGTCTGCCACAGGGATCATCATACTTAACATGAAGCTCTGGTGTTTCCTACTAAATTCAGGTACAAGACAAGTATGCCCACTATCCACGATCATTTAACATTTTCCAAAAGTTAGGCAAAGCAGCAAAACAAATGAAATAACAGAAAAATCTTTAGAAAGGAGGAGACAAATAATCACTTTCATAGAACTGCCTATGTAGCAACCCGAGAAAAATTATTAGAAGCAAGGAGAGTTCAATAAGGCAGTTGGTTACAAAATGAAAATCAGTATGCAGAAATCAATGTTTTTTCTTTTTTTTTCTTAAGAGATGGGATTTCACTATGATGCTGTTGCCCAAGCTAGACTCAAACTTCTGGGCTCTAGTGATTCTACCCACTTTTACCCGTAGCTGGGACTACAGGCGAGCGCCACCATGCTTGGCTAACTCATGCCTGGCTAAATCCACAATTGCCAGGCACAGTAGTTCACTCCAGTAATCCCAGCATTCTGGGAGGCTGGGGCAGGAGGATCGCTTGAGCCCAGGAGTTTGCGACCAGCCTAGGACCACTTCTGTATTAAAAAAAAAAAAAAATTGAGCTCAAAAGATTGAGGCTATGATGAACTGTGATTATTCTACTGCGCTCCAGCCTGGGTGACAGAGTGAGACACTATCTCAAAAACAAACAAACAGACAACCCAACAATCATCAGTAAATACAGCTTTAAAAAGGTATTAAAAATAGAGACTCAAATATAAAATACCTAGGAATAAGCTAACATAAGTATGCAGGACGTATATAAATAAAATTGTAAAACTTTACTAAGGGACTTGAAGGGAGACTTGAATATATGGTAGGGCACGCCACAGTCTTAGACGACATAACTCAATAATTCAGCCGTTTCTATTCTAATAAAAACGTCAAAAGTAGTTTTTTTTAACTAGACAATATAATTCTAAAGTCACCCGTGAAGCTTAATAAAGAAAGAGTTGAAGAAATTTTGGAAGATAGAGGGATGACTTACACTGCTGGAAAGATTTATTATTCAAGCAGTATGATTCTTGTGTAGGAATAAAAATAGCCTTCCAGACGGACTCAAGCGTGCACATGTGTCATAGGATAAA